CTGGGCCGTCGGAGCGAGAACTTGTCTGGTCTGGTCTGGTATGGTATGGCCTGGGGTCCGTTCTGTTCTGTTGTTGGTCCCCTTGTGGGTTGAAGTATGGCCGGCGACAGGGACTCACTCCCAACTGCGGGCCAGGTCTAACTAGGTAGATGACGAACTTGTGCTCAGTGCTTTTGTCTTGCCCATCTGCGAGGTGAACAGTGAGCTTAGGATATGCTGTCTCTGAGTTTGACCCGTTGTCTCTTATAATAGATATTGTATGGTTTATCTCCCTTGGGTTCTTTTTATAGCCAAAGTGACAAACAAACAGATCATCTACGTCTGGCCGCGTGGAAGAAAGAGGGGTTCAGTTGGTTCGACTGTAGTAGTAAATGATGATTTCCCAAAAGTGTCCAGGTTTGTAGTAAAGTGATTTGGTGAGGAACGAGAAAGGGCCGAGGAAGGGCAGCGCAGCACGGAAGCCGGAGATACTGGAGGAGATAAGTCACCAAAGTGCCGAGGCCGACAAGAGATTGAGGAGAAGTAGCTTGTTAGGGCCAAGTTGGATCTAAACGAAAAGAGAGGTCAAAGATAGGATAACTATATGTGGTAACCAGGTCGGACGGTGGTGGAGTGGATGAATGGGGTTTATGGATGTTTGTGGTGGTTCTCCCCGTGTTGTAGTGTACTCTAGTGGGGGGGGCTCCTTGTTGGGCTCTTTCCGGTGATGGGTGATAGCGTCTGGGCATAGGTAAATTGGCAGGCTCTAACGTTAGTCTAGAGGTCTCATAGCGCACTTCCATGTCTTCTTACACAGTGCAGTGATCCCCAAATGCCGGGGCCCAATTAGATAATAGGAAGCTCTAGATTAGAATACAAGAACCCGGTTTACGGTGCTGGTAAGCTCCGTTAGGTCTTTTACTTCAGGTGATGAACCTATCACGGAGTAAAAGAATAGCAGGGTACAATGCAGTAGCCGTACAGTAGTAGCTACAGTAGAGGCAGACCAAAAGGTGATAAAAGATCCATGGAGTGGACTCAGTGGAGAGAGAGGAGAGAGAAAAAGGTGCCGAGGGCCCCGGTGGAAATGCCGGCAACTTCCTAATTCTGCCTTTTACCCCAGATCAAAATTAGATCTGATGAAGTCTGAGGCAGAAAAAGCAGAGTCAAAGCAACAGGTCAAGGGTAAGGATTAGTCCGTCTAGTCTAGGGGTGGGTATCACCAGGAGAAGCAAATGCAAATGCAATGCAATGGATGGAGAGACACCAAATTTGTAGTTTTGCCTGAATATGATCCAACATACTCCGTACAAAAAGTCCTAGGTTCTTTCGGTGACCATCATCATCATCAACTTGCTTTTTATAGACGAGGATGGATGATCAACAGCAACACCTTTGAGGCACAGCAAAGAACTTGAGTCCGCCCTGTTTCTGTAATGATGATGCTATCTCGAGTTGAAAAATGAAAGAGAGAGAAAAAGGACACTGTTGCACCACTCGAGAAGAAGAACTGACAAAGAAATCTGTAATAAATCATGTCAGTAGCAAACATACCTACTCAAGAGTCTAGTTAGAGAGCAAACTACCCAAGTCCTTGCAGCAATCACAGGCACAGACAAAGTGATCAACATCGGCATCTCTCTTCTGAGGTAGTTTGCTTTTTTAGCAAATGGACAGGGATCATCACTGAGCCAAACAGATCAAGTCATCTCAAGAGGCTAACAAGGACAAGACCTTCCGGGTGAGATGTCCCAGATGCCGACCGATACCAAATACGCTCCTGTACTGTGCCGTACTGTAGCATCGAGAAGGGGTTTCAAAGCCGCGCTTAGGGGGGGGAACTGCCGCTTCATCATATCACTTCCAATGGCTTGGACTTGGACTTGGACTTGGACTTGATGAGGCACAGGCGCTAAAAAGGCCAAGACACCAAAAGCCCATCACCGTTCCCTATTTTGCTCCCAAGAGACAAGTACAAGTACCGCCGGTAGAACAGAAATTGTCTTATAAATTAGCGTGGGAGTGGATTCCTTCCAATGTGTAATAAGACCTGTGAGTTGCAGAACTCAGTTAGTCCAGTGCAAATCCCGTCGTGGAACGGAGAGTATGCAAATGCCAGCATCTATCACTCAATATCTCATTAATCACAAGTGACTTCATCAACTGGACAGACAGGGAATGGCCACTCCATGATATCAACCAGTTTGTTGTCAAGGAGACAATACATACGTCAACTAAACCATGATATCAGTTGAAACAACGCCAAAAAAGACGCTATTGTCAAGAAATCAACGTTTAGCTTCAAGTCTCATCAACTCTATTACGCCCGACAATTCCGATCTCAGCTGAACTCCAAGATCTTTTCGTATTTGACAGCTCGCGCCTATCTGAGATTCTGAGTACGATTGAAGCCTACGGCACAGGCTGGGTCTGACTCTATCGTATCTAGCTCAGCCATTTTCCATTCTTATTTTGGGCATTCCCAGCCTGAGGCTCACCATGATGACCTGGCTGCTACCGTCCATCACACCCTCTCACGTACGTCCTAAACATCCCTCCCCCTTGAGCTCTTGTTACTGAATGGGAGATGACTTGTGGAAAAGGGGGCAATCTAACTTGGTATTGCAATCTCGTCCCCAAAATCCTCCTCCTCCTTCTTCTAGACTAACGTTAACTTTACGGTCGGGCTCTTCTCGGACGGTTCCTCTCTTCCCGTCCGCCGAAGCCTCCGAACGAACGGCTGCCATAACGGAAATCCAACCTTATTGCGATGGATACGATTACCAACTTCATCTCCATGTTTGTTACACAGCGTCAACAGTCTAAGCCTCTCCCTTTTCCCGATATCAACCGATACCAAGCCCGTTGGGCCGTCAGGTGAGTCCAACCGTTGGTCGGTGAACGTTTCTGTCATGTATGTATTTCTCGATTGCCCAGTCCATCCATACCAGGCTCTGGGTTTCTCTGTACAATTGTAACCAACACCCATTAACATCCAATCCTTGTGATCATGGGCCAACTCTTGACGCAAATATCAGCTAACCAAGGTAGGGACCTTGGTGTCACACAAGCAGAGCACGGCGTTGTACACCCTTCGTTTCCCGTCTTGCCTATTGTCTAGAGTCTCTTATGTCTCTCACCAAGGTACGACAATCATCATTGCACGGTAGAACGCACTGCCTTTGCGTAGCCTCAAGGTTCTCTGCATCATCTATAGGTCTGGTCTCATTCCGGCTTTGATCGCCATTGGAAGCTCATCCTTGTTGCCTATCATGCCGTGATGCCCGGCGCTGGACTTTCGTTTCTTCGGTGTTTGAACCCCGTGGAGGTCCTCGCCCTAAATCGACTAAAGTTGTCTGCGACCAGTGATAGAGACATGTCTAAGACTCTTGAGTAGAATTCGGCGTTGAAAAGTGTCTCTATCTCGCTGTTGCAGTCGTTGTACAGGCGCCTCTAAAATAACGTCGTGACGACAAAGGTCTCTGGAGGCCTACGGTTAGGTATACCTGTGCCTCATGCTCTGCGTGTTCGTTCCACGAGTACGAACTTTGGATGTGCACCTGGCCTTACGCAAGAGTCCTTAAGGACAATTTGTAGGTGCTATGGTGCCTCAGTTCAGTATTCAGGCAATCGGATCAAGGGACCGCAACACGCTGTTGATCTGTAGTATCATCACGGCATCAGCTTTCTTTGATCATTAACTGTGAGCGCTTCTGGCACAGCTTATTCTAGGCTTGATGTCACGGCATCGCAGCCTTCTATTCATCGGCATGAAACTGTTGTGCCCATTGAAATCTTCAAAGTGGACAGCGCCACCTTTGATCTTGCGAACCACGACCCCGATGCCTCTTGAGCATGTTTCTCGTGTTCAGATGAGGCATTCACAAAGGAGCCCGGGGTTAGCGATGCTCGCTCGTCACAAATCACCGCAATCGTGTATTCACAGGACTGCATGTCCTTGGGCGTAGTCGTAGGTCGGAACTCATGCACTCAAGGACTTGTCGAAATATTCAATGCCGCAGACGCAGGGCGGACCGCAATGCTTCGGTGTCCCTATGTGTGTCTTGAGGCTCTTTTACTGTGTCCTGTGACTAAATAATGCAATGATACCAGCTGCGAGTCAACATCTGCATATAGCCGCTTTGTCGAAGGACACAATATGCAGTTGATGCTATGATTCGTGCGCAAAGACAGGCGTAAGGTTGGAAGAGCCAATCCGTTGCAAGACTCTGTGGCCTCTTTTCACTATCATAGCTTATCTCAGACCAGAACTAAGAATCCGTGGATATTGATGCTTCGTAGGGTATTGGTTGGCTGGGGTGTTGTTGGTCAGCATGAATTACAACCGCACCACTCGAATTATTGCCTTTCACAGTCTTACCAACTTCCAGTAAGTAACTTATGAGCTTTCAACCCCCCAAAACCGTATGGGGACTGCGGATCATATTGTCTCATTACACAAGCGAGCATTCCATCATTTTGGGTGGAGGACCTTGAGCATCGGGGATACGGACAGTGAATCCCGCTCGGAAGACACCATGTTTACATGAGTAAATGAGACATTTCTAAAGAGATCTATTCGTGAAATTATGTCTTGGTCCTGAGAAAAGTCAGAACTTGGTAAATTGTTCTGCTACTCCTGTCAGCTAAGGATGCTCAATTAGAAAAATGAAGATTCTGCTACCATCGATATATGGGTGCGTAATTTAAACAACTATTTCTAGGTATCTTAAAATCTTCTTAAGAGGTAACATAGCGATCATATAGTATCCATCTTATATATCAAAATAGAAGTCGCTGTCCTTCAAGCTTGAATGATATTGCCTTATTGAGTGAGGTTCGTTGGCATCCAAATATGGCAGGTGCACGGGCCATATGCGGATCTGAGTGGAGGTGCCCAGACTTTGAGGTACGTACCTCCAGCAAAAAATTCAGATCTACCTACGAAATTTATCAAAGCCAAACTTCATCAGCATCACTCATCAACCACAACCAAACATTTAATCACTTCCAATCAAAAAATGTTTGCTGTTCCAGGATGGTCCGTCTCAGCGGAAGGTCTCAAGTCTGAGGCCCCCGGCAAAAACAATAATAACAGCGCGCCCAGCAAAAAGTCCAATAAGCGCAAGCGCAACAACAACAACGCTACTGAGAATGTCACAGCTTCGACTGTCGCTGATCTTTGGGAGTCTGTGATTGAGGGAAAGAAGACTGAGCAGCCCAAGTCTGAAAAGGCTGCCAAGAGGCAGAAGAAGCAGAAGAAGGCTAAGGATGGCGAGGATGAGAAGCTGAAGGAGGGCGATGAGACGAAGGAGGTTAAGGAGGCCAAGGAGGGCGGTGATGATGAGGAGCCCAAACCTAAGAAGGAGAAGAAGGACAAAAAGCAGAAGCAAAAACAAAAGTCTACCGAGGACTCAACAGAAACCACCACTTCACCAGCAAAGGCCGTCGTCGCAAAGACAGCATCTCTGCCTCCTGCTCCTCCCAAGCTCACTCCCCTACAAGCTTCTATGAGAGAGAAGCTCATCTCAGCACGATTCCGCCACCTCAATGAGACACTCTACACCCGCCCCTCCGAGGAGGCTTTCAGTCTCTTCGATGAGTCCCCCGAGATGTTCGACGAGTACCATGAAGGTTTCCGTCGCCAGGTCAAGGTCTGGCCTGAGAACCCCGTCGACAGCTTCCTCAAGGATATCCGCACACGCGGCAAGGTTCGCCAACAAGGCAAAGGCAAGCCTGGAGCTCCTCCTACGCCATTGCCCAAGACACCGCTACCTCGTACACAACAACAGTGTACTATCGCTGATCTTGGCTGCGGTGATGCTCGTCTTGCAGAGGCTCTCCAGTCGGATGGCAAGAAACTCAAGGTCAATGTCAAAAGCTACGATCTCCAGAGCCCAAGTTCTCTAGTCACCAAGGCTGATATCGCCAACCTGCCTCTTGCTGATGGCTCCGTCAACGTCGCTGTCTTTTGTCTTGCTCTCATGGGCACCAACTGGGTTGATTTCATTGAGGAGGCCTACCGTATTCTCCACTGGAAGGGTGAGCTCTGGGTTGCTGAGATCAAGAGCCGCTTTGGTCCCATTCGAAATAAGAACGCCCCTGTAACCCACAGTGTTGGCAACCGCAAGAAGAACGCAACGGCCGGCAAGAAAGGCAAGAAGGGTGCTGATAACGATGCTGAGCATGATGAAGATCTGGCCGTAGAGGTCGACGGTATGGATGATCGTCGCCGTGAGACAGACGTTTCAGCGTTCGTCGAAGTGCTCAGGTCACGCGGTTTTGTTCTTCAGGGCGATCGAGAGGCCATCGATCTGTCCAACAAGATGTTTGTCAAGATGCACTTTATTAAAGGAGCATCGCCCACAAAGGGAAAGCATGTCAAGGAGCAGGAGGCCCCTAAGGGTAAGAGGGGCATTATTCGCAGGATAGATCCCATCGATGAGCAGCCTGAAGTTAACGAGGCTTCTGTCCTCAAGCCTTGCGTCTACAAGATCCGGTAAAGGCATCCAGCAAAGGGAGAGGGGAGGGTTTTCCATAGATTAAGTTAGTTACTGCGACGAACAATACCCGCACCAAAAGCTAATGAGCAATTTGTACTTCATAACTACGTTTGAATCTTGAATCTTGAATACTCCAATGTATCATGCCGCATTATAGCGAAATGGTCATACCTGTTCCTTAACCATCCTATCCCATTTGTAGACATGAAATCTTTCTATCCGCCCGCTAAAACACGGGAGAGTTGGATACTCATCTATCATTATAATCCTCCATGTTATTCATTGTATTTTTTCTCTTCGTTGTTCCCTGTCACCGTCCAGTGTGTTGCCTCCATGTCCCTAGAAGAAAATCAACCCAGCAGCAACATCCGGGTCACCTTCTGCGGCCTGGAGGGCCTGGATGGCTTGCTCCCGAGTGGCACCCATCGAGATAAGGCTCTCGATTGCTTGTGGCGAGATGTTTGTTGTTGTCGGAGCAGGCTGTGCAGCAGGAGGCGCTTGGGGGGCGGAGGGGGCGGGAGCTGCAGCTGCAGCAGGGGATGGTGCAGACTGAGCGGCTTGCGGTCTGGCAGGGATCTGCTGTTGGTGCTGGCCAGGAGGCACAATGGCTCCGGTACGTTGTCCGATTGCTGTGCCATCGGGACCAGGCAAAGTTGGCTCTTGTGCAGCCTCCTCCTCTTCCGCCTTGGGGATCTCAGCCTCTCCCAAAAAGGGAATCATTTCACCTTGGATAATGAGCTTGTCTCTAGCCAGATCAATAGTCGCTTGGTGTCGTTTCAGCATGTCGAGACCGAGCAAAAGGTCAACTGATCGGCCCTCCATGACAGTAAAGCTACAGGGGAGGAACAGGTTTCCAATTTTGATCTGGGCGGAATGAACACGGCCGATAATTCTTGCTGTTCCGACACCGTGAGCTACACCAGCAAATCGAGTATCGATCAGTCTCATTATGCCACAGGCCTCAGCACAAGAGGGCGACATGATGGTGGCTTGAGCACCGGAGTCAACAAACGCCTTGACTGGGTGGCCATTTACCTCTACATCAACGTAGAGCATGTGAACTCTTCCGAAAACTAGGTTCGAATGATGTCAATATTACAGTTCATAGGTAGCTGTCATTTCAAGAACGTACCTTCGGGGTTGTGTTCCATGGCGTTTTGCAAGTTCTCCATGACTCGCTCCTGTCGAATCATCTCCTCGATCTTTCGCTGGTTCTCAACGTTGAAAGGGTCATCGTTCAGTCTCTCGATCTCCCGCTGTCGTTCCTGACGCTCGCGTTGCTCTCGATTCTGGCTGTCACGGAAGATTTGTGCAAAACGGGCAGGGTTGTCAACTGCAGCAGCCAGTTCTGGGTGTTGTGACTGGAGCTGTTGTCTCAGGGCAGGCTGGCCAAGAATCTGAAGGCGGATGAGCTCAGGGTCCTGTTCGTTCTGAGCCGGTCTCCTAGGTTGAGGGCGTCGAGGTTGTTCGGGTACACCAGTGCTTCCTCGCATATCTCTGACGTGTACAGCCAACATCTCTCCATCCACAATCTGCAGCTGCTCCATGGTCTGGGTATCATCCGAAATTAGGCGGCCGTTGTGGTAGATGTGCTGCGAGGTTGGAGGAACAGTCGATTCTGCCTGAATAGACTCGCGAAGGGTAGCGAGTGTCATGTCGGGAAAGATCTCGAGGGTGAGCAGGCTATCCTGCTCCCCAGCCTGGGGGTTAAATATGTTAAGGGTGATGCGCCTGTTGTCAGTTAGCATCCAATAGCCGAAGATGACGTAAATGTGGCCGGGCAGTGAACTAACATTGTGGTGTCTGTTGTTGTTCGTCTGATATTTTCCGTGAGTATGTTTGAAATGTTTAAGTTTTGGCCAGAGAGGACGAAAGAAAGTCGTCGAGGGCTCTCGAGAAAGTGGCTGGTCGTGAGAAGAGAGGAGTAGGCGTGGCCACGAGGGTGGCTAAGAAAAGAAAGCCCAGACAACTAGCTACCTAAGCACAAGACTGTAACAGCTCCTGAGGTGAGGTACCCACTAGGGATCTTCGAAAATAGGAGCCCAAAGTGCCTAAGAAAAGCAAGTTGACGTGGTTAGCGATTAGTTGAAGAATATTGAAGTGAAAAAAGATCGTGAATTTAGTGCACGAGGTTGGTTGGTGTAAAAAAAACGATCGGAGAAGAAAGAACAGATGAAGATGGAGATAGATGCAGGTGCAGGCTGGTGCAGGCAGTTGCACATAAAGTTCTAAGCAAGCTACTGGCTACTAACCTCTAACGTTGGAGCTATAGGAGGGGCCGTTTCCGCTGCCGCTTAGGTTCCGCCGGAGGGGTAGTTATGCCGCTTGATTAATAAAGAGCAATACCTACGAGACAACCGCAAGAATTATAGGGATCACTCAGCTTTGCACTGGTTTCATATGTTGTCATGAGAACAATGAGTTTTTTTTTAAAGCTTACCCCAATTGAGGAAGAACACAGGGTAACGGTGCAGGTATACAGTTAGTTGCTTTGCGGTTCATCGTACCTGTAACAGTACCAGTCATCGACTTACATCATATTGCACCCCTCCATTCTGCCCTACCGTAGCGCGGGCCAAGAGGGCCATCAGCCAACCAAGTTCCATATAATAAGAGCAATCTTGACATGGATATTCAAGTTTCTCTTACGGTTACCTCAAAAACCCCCATCTCAATCCTTCTGGCCAGATATTTTCCTGTTTTCGCAGTCAGCGGGCTTGCATTGTATCCCTCATGTACCGCTAGGCACAGCTGCACATACGCACGCACGCTCGCTCACAATTAAGGACCACGCAAATGCTGGAAGCCGACGGAAGCCTATGGATGCTGACTACAGTGCAGTTCGGTTCGGACATGATTGCGGAGAAACCAGGCGCCATTGGTGATGACGAATAGGTGCTCTTCATGCAGCCAGGCAGAGGGGACAGAGCGCTCTGTAGGTCATGGAGTTGTGACCGTGGAAGAGGACGCAATAAAATATGGCACATCTATCCCAAGTGACAAAAAAGACTTAGTTAGGGTTCTTATATGCACGGCAGGCCTTGGACTGATCCTTTTTGGCGCCTCGTTCAAGGTCTGCAGCTTTCTTGCTCCCTGAGAGTGACATATCCACGCCCAGGCTCCTTGTCCTCGCAGATCCAGCATTGGTAACCAGATCGGGCGAAATGCAACGATTTTGTTTCCAAATAAGGCATCATGCATAATCCCCTTGGTCTACATACATAACTTAACCCCAACCGCTCCTGTGATATTGAAGGCCTCACTGGGGAGAGAACGTGTGTGGGATATGCTTTGGCGATTCCGTGGCATACCAGGATAAAGGAACCCGGGATTGCATGCGGCTGCTGCCGTTTCAGGGACCCCCCAACTGCTGATCGTCTTGGTTACAGCAACAGGGAGGTCGTCCCGGGAGGCACAGAATGATCTCCTGCAGGACTGCCACCTGGAGGCACAGAGTGCATGCTATAGGTAGGCTCGCTGCTCCGGTGTCCCGTTGCCTGGGCCAAGCAAGCTTTTTCACTGTTAGGGCTGCTAGTATGGTTTCATTATCGTTATCGTGAACTGATTGACGTTGAGGTCAAGTTGGGATCTTTGTTTATCTACTTTGGTATCCAGACCTGTGACAGTCACCGTGTAAGCTCTCATACGAGTACAGTATTCTCAGCCGCCATGCTCTGTACTCTTGTTACCTGACCAGTTAATATTCCGAATTTACACAATGTCAATGCTTATCTTCTTTGATAAGTCTGTTGAAAAGGTAGGTTAGCAACAACCTTGTTCACAATTGACTAATTGTTGGATACTGGTCTTCGTACTCAGACTACCCTAGACACCTGAGATCGCATCTCCTTACCATCACCACATTAATGAGCTCCTTCTTGATATTTATTGACCTGGCAGCTGCTTGGCCCATTTTCATCTGCAATTTGCCGTGACTTCCCTATTCTGTTTGTTCTCCTTTGTTGAGGTCACGCGACTTTTGATGTGTCATGTGCCAGACCCAAGCTACCACTGGCGATGGAGACGGAACAAGCTCTCCCCGCTCATGAACCCATCGGGACGAGAATGGTAAAGTTGGGGGAAAATACAGTTTTTGAAGGTCGGTTCAACACCATCTTCACTGTTTGTGACTCCGTTGACAGTTAGACAGCACTCTCACAAGCTCTGGAACCAACTGTTACAACGCCCTGAAGCCATTGTCACCTATACCCACAGATTGAAACTGGCCCCATTGCGGCGCCGGCCTCGCTGCATCATCCGATCGCTCGGCATTCGTGGGTCCACCAGAAGTTGAATGGGCAAACAGGATAACAAAACCCGTCGTCCCATTACGTTTCATTCACTGTCAAATGAGTCTGAATCTTTCTGTGTGATTCAGTAATCAAAAACTCACCCGATTTTGAGCCAAACGAGGTACAAACCTCCCTCAACGCTTCACACCTCAAGACGCCTGTGCCTCATACCAACGCTCAATGTGCACGGGTGAGCTTTAATTCCTCTCGTCTCATCATAATCATATCATCAAGAGACAACATCAAATTTGCAATATAATCTCAACACAAGACAATCGACGAAGCAGAAAGAATCTCTGCGATAGCTCTCACTGCTCGAAAAAGGCCCACAAATCTCACCTGCAGCTTTATTCTGACGACCGACGACTTATACTGAGGTAGTACCTCTAGTAACCATCACCAGCTCAAGACCCTTTTAGGGCTCAATCTTTCAACGTGGCAACCGAAACTCAAACCCTTATGCGAAGCATGGAAAAGAAGAAAAACAATGAATTCGCTTCTGCCGCCAGAGACATGATCTTCTCTGGCGGCGTGTTCGAAAACCTGGACAACGACGATTCTGACGGCGCCATCGACGACGGAGACGCCGATGAGGACATGGTCAATTCTAAAAGGAACTTCTGCCAAATGAGAATCCAGAAGAGAAACTCAGAAGCTGGCCTTCTGAAGAAGGTCATTCCTTTTCACTGGGCTCCTATGCTCACGCCC